TATCTAATATTGACCTAGGTATTTACATTACCTGGAATTTTCCATTTAATTAGCTGACGTTATTATTATATTATACGGTTTTGTTTATTTAACTTTAAAATTATTACTAGTAGAAAATTATTTCTTAGCTGTTCCAATCTTCTGTGTCCCACAAAATAAGGGTAAATGAAAATTATAAAGACAATTATTAATTTACATTCCACAGCATGTCGGTCCATGGATAACTCCTTAAAAGAGAAAAATTCTTGGAGTGCTTTGAAATTTTGCAATTTACCTAATACTAAAAGGAGATGTTTTGACTTATTTGTGATTTGTCTGTTTCCTAGTGCTGATTTTTACATTAGTAAATCTTTGAATCTAATAAAACATTAATGAATTTCAATTAAGAACTCATCGCGATAAATATTCAAATGGGTCTTAGCAATCCAAGAAAGAGGTTGCAAATTTGCAATGGTATTGAAAATAGGGAAGAAAAAAAGTTGGTAAGTACTCCGTAAATTTGATATGTAGAATTATGGTTATTAGTTAAAGTCGTTAAAAGTTAAATTAAATGATGCCTTTTCTGAAATTTGATAATGTTACTTAATTAGCGGGATGTAGTCGATCACACTTAAGCTTAGACAATCAGCCTATATGGATCCTTGATAATCATGTGTCAATTTAGTTACTAAAATAACACTTAATAAATGTATCATGAAATACTATGGTAGGTTATCATACATTTTGAATTTGTGTGTAAAGCTTAGCTAGAGATGTTTGGTAGGCGTACTTATATGAAATTAATGTATGAAGATGTAGACGAGTGAAAATCAGTTTGTATAAAATTGAGTATAAATAAAGCTTGGTTGATAAAACGACGACGTAGGAAAGCTAATGTGTGTGTAAAAATACAAAAGGGGTCCAAATCATTTATGAATGAAATGATTTGGCCCGACCAAGTTTCCCGTCTAATTCTATAGTAGCCGGTTGTTACATGCCCACAAGAATATCTCATTTTCAACTATGATATGTGCCTTTCATGTATTTAGCATACTTTAGTACAATCACACCAATGACATATTCATTTAATGGTAAAATTTTGAGTTGTATCAGTTCTTGGATTTATTTTATCGATTTTGCATTTTTCGCTTTTTGATCGGCATGGTAAATTGACTCCTGTTAAATATGCAAAATGAAAGCCTATTTTAAATCACATGATTGTTTGTTATATGGAGTAACCAACAAAAAATTTATGAATGGTCATACTTTTGGGACTGAAGTCGAGTTTGAACAAAAATTAAGTTAAACTTGATAGAAAACACTATATATATTGCTTAGCAAAATCTCGAAACTTGGTTCAAGCTCAAATTGAACTGGCCGGTATGAGTTAAGCTATTGAATTCGAGTAGCTTAGCCTGTCACTTTATCAACCATGCGTGCATTTTATACTAGAACACTGATGAGTCATATGTCTAACTTTATATTGAAGGCAATACGGGAAGATTTCTCAAAATTTGATTTAAATCATGGAAAAATAATTACGAAATAACGAATATGCTTTTTAGTTTCAACAATAGTAAGATTTGCTGATAATATCCAATATATTAATTGGTGAACCCTCCCATTTTATTTTGGTCTATAAAAAGACACAAATGTTAATGTTCTAAAAGTGATTCGATCCTATGCCTTTGATACCACACCATCCAACCACAATAATTTACCAACTAAGGATGAGCATTTTCCTCACCGGATTTTTCCTATATTAACCTATTTTCTTCAAATTAGTGAATTGAAGATATGGCGGAGAAAACTATTTAAGCGTAACCATTCATTGTTAATCGAGACTATTTCCCACATCTAGAAGGCCTATAAAAGGACACTTTCAACATCAAATTTCACATAGATCCCTAATTACAAAACGATTTGTTTCTTCAATCATCACTTTGCTAACACATACACACATAACATCTCGACCGACTAATCATCCTATGGCCCATTTTAAGAAGAACAACTCTCTAAATATACATATATATACCTCAACAATATGAGCTAGCTTAGACACTACCAAATAAAGAAGACACCTTGCAACATGGGCCCACTTATTGTGTAAATAAATGAGGCCATGGCACTGTCTAGTGGTGCAAAATAAAACTCCCCAAATTTTCTACAGTAATATTTATTTTCTTTCATAAAATTTAAAAAAGATATGATACAAATAATAATGATAATAATTAATAAAGTTAGGATATAAGTAGTACGTACACAAAATACCATTTGTAAGACTATTGACATTGATAATAACATGGCACAGGAAAAAGACTACTTTTGCTCTTGCCATATTACCAACTTTATATAATTCTTTGTATGTCATTCATATAATAAAAATAAAATATGCTTTTGATTTGAACCATCTTTTTTATTTTATTAAAAAAAATTAGCTTTTTTGTTCTTGTTTTTTTGACTAAAATAGAGTGTGAAGTATGTGTGTGTGATTTGTTAAGATGATCAAATAATTGTTAAGGCTTCAATCAGTTTGTTGACAAATCAGGGAGAAAGCAGCATAGAATAATGTAATTTGCCCCCCTATAATTATGGGCCCCAGTTTTGTCAACAACAACAACAATGTTTTTTGCAGTTAATTATTGCACATAAATTAAATTAATAAATAATCATAATTTATATATATATTGTAAATAGGAGTTGTATGTGAGCCTTTGATTTGGGATATCTAATAGAATGGACTTGTCGTCGTCTATTAAGAATCTTATATTTTTCAACCTTATGTTATAATTCACACTTTCAATTGTCTGTTTATCTATAGAATGTGATTTTGTACATATTACATCTCATATTATTAAGAGTACTTATGTATAGTACGACTACCACTAAGCAAATCTAAGAGTTAGAGATTGTGATAATTATACTCTAAAGCTGTTTCGATTGATTTCATTTATAATGGATTTTGCTAATCATAAGGGTACGGTTGCATAGCTTGATAAATATTAAAAGTAGATACAATTAACTTTTGAATAATTGATGTGGATTTTAAGTAGAAGTAGAATATAGCTCGCTGATAATTAAAGTATTAAGTATAGTACTCGAAATTTAAGATCTGGTCACGTCGTATATCAATTGTAAAATATTTTATAAAATATTTTATTATAATCCCTTGTCATATTTTCGTTAATTTTTTTTATCTAATCCAATTTTTTTAAAATATCAATTGAATGTGAATTTCATTTTTTTAAGTTTAATAATATTTTTTAAATATACGAAATAAAATAAATTGTTTCTTTTCTTTTAAAATTTCCAATTTAAAAAGATAGTATTTTATTTTTATAATAAAATTAAATTTTTAATTTTAATCTTACGTGGCTCTTTAAAATAACAACCCTACATGGCATAATCCTATAAGCAACTCTCTAAAAATATTAATTTTACATGGCGCTCTAATAATATTTTAAAAATAAAAATCCTAGGTGGCTTTCGAAAATCTTAGGAAAAAACTCCCCTTTATATATATATATATATATATATATATATATATATATATATATATATATATATATATATATATATATATATATATATATATATATATATATATATATATATATATATATATCTTAGATTAGATTAGATTAGATTTTTAAGAGCTACATCAACTCGCAAATCCGACCTAATAGATATGATGATGAGAAGCATATAACGTAAGTTGTTAGGAACAAGTTATTGTAATTTTGTTCGTATAAAGGAATGAAATGGACATATGGATACAAGACTTGATCGTTGAAGCCAGTGGTAAATTGAAGCATGTAGATCAATATAAGGGCAAGTTGATTAGTTGAATGACTGATTAGTTAAAATTACCCAATTAAGAATTAAGATGTACACAAACTAATGTTTCTTATTAAGAATGATACGACTACTATTATGTCGTATCACATCAAATTAAGTTCAATTAGTATTGCTCCATATCTACTATTAGGGCATATTTCCAAATTTGCTAGTAATTTAGTTGAAGTGTTGCTTTAACGAGGTAATAGGTACTTGTTCTTATTCCAGTTAATAATCTACAATTTAATTATACTTCTGATACTAGCAATTGATTTCTTCAAAAATCAAATGTTTTTTTATTTCCCCCCAAAGAATTAAAATGAAGCCCTAATCTTTTTACTATATTTTTTGCTGAAAATAGAAGCATTTTACTACACAAATTTTAGTCCAAACCAAGACATCCAACTATCCAAGCAAATCTAATGGAAACAATACATTAGGGTTTTAAACAATTCATTATAAAATATATCTTCAACGGGTCTTTTCATCTTTTAACACACGTATGCGGGTGAAGGCCGGAAAATATGGCTACATACAAATCAAGAAAAGTTCTATCAATTCGAAAAAGAATTTGGGTCTTCCCTCTTTTCACAACTGGTAACACATAAAGTTTCCATCTACCCTGATACCATAATAAATCTTTAATTCAATGGTATGTATTATACGCATGCACATCCAAACCATAACCAAAGTATGTAATTTGGATTTCTCGATCTTATCTTGACTAATTTTCTTTTGTACTCTCTCATAAGGGTTGTCACCCACTGTCAGCCCTCATGATCAACTAAACATTTCCCTTATTTCAAAACAAACCAAGACTCTCTAGAAAAGAGTTAGTAAGACTAATATATATAGTGTGTGTGTGTGAGTGAGTTAGCAAAGGGTTAGTAAGACCAAAAATGTCAAGGAACAAAGGCACAAGTCTTCTACAATCTACATACATACCCTCCCAAACACAACCCACATCCAACAACAACAAAGAATAATAACTTAACCCAGAAAAAAAGAGAGAGAGAGAGAATTTGAGAAGTAAATTTAGACAAAAAAGCCTCTTTATTAAAAAATAAAATAAAATGAATTACTTTTCCTTTATTATCCTTCATCCCCTTTAATTTGCTCTCCTATCTTCCTCCTCCTCCTTACCCCCACGTCCAAATTAAAAAAGCCACTTTCTCTCTCCTCTCTTTCTGAAACTTCTCTCTCTTTATTTATCTCTGGTTTATTTTCTCTTCCTTCTTTCTTCTCAACTGTCGTTTTCTCACATATACTTCACACAAAAGAAACTACTCCTTCACTTATATTCACTTTCTCTCTCCTCCCATTCTCTGAAACTACCCCCTCTTTCTCTCTCTTCAATTCGATCATCTTCATTATTAACATCATCCAAACCCTTAGCTTATACACACAAACAAACAATTTTTAACTTGATACTACTACTCCTCTTCCTCTTTCGCTTGGGTGTTCAATTATTATTTTTTTTAATTATTGTTATTATTATAAGCTTGATTATAAGTTTATATGGAGTTATTCCCAGCTCAACCAGATTTATCCCTCCAAATCAGTCCTCCAAACGTACCTAAACCCACTGCCGGAGTTTCCGCAACATCGGACATGGACTTAGCCTTCTGGAAACGCGCTTCCGATAATTCTAGAAACTCCATCTCCGACAAAACCAACTCCTCCTTCGACCTCTCTTTATCTCACCCAGTGGCGGCCTCCTCGGCCGCCACCGGGTCTAATTTCCTCCATCATTACTACCACCATCACCACCACCAGCAACAGCAGCAGCTGTACCAGCAACTACTGCAACAACACCATCAAACTAATTTCAATAATGGTAATAGTAATAGTAATAATGGATTGGGCTCAGAGTTGGGCTTTTTAAGGCCCATTAGAGGGATCCCAGTTTATCAAAACCCTCCACCGTCTTTTCCGTTTGCTCCACCAGGACTACCGCAGCCAATGGACTCAACAAGTGTCGCCGCGGGTCTAGCTAATGGTAACTTAGCTTCGCCCGCATCGAATCATCACCATCATCATATACCTTATCAGTCGCCTTCTTCTCATCACCATCATCATCAAGGGCTGATGAGATCAAGGATTTTTTCGAGGTTTCCGGCGAAACGTAGCATGAGAGCTCCTCGGATGCGCTGGACTTCAACTCTTCATGCTCGTTTCGTTCACGCCGTTGAACTCTTGGGTGGCCATGAAAGTAATCATCATAACCATATATCATCTTTTACATTTTTTTTTTCAATTTTACAAAATCAAAATTAAAAATGTATTGTTATTTTTTTTGTTTTTGGAAATAAATAGGGGCAACGCCAAAATCAGTACTTGAGCTCATGGATGTCAAGGATCTTACCTTAGCTCATGTCAAGTCCCATTTACAGGTAATTTATTTTTTATTATTTATGTTATTATTAGTTATAATAAACCTAATTTAAATCAATTATTAAATTAGTTGGAAAACAACAAAGATTATATCCAACCAACTCTCTTTATAATACGCAGTCTATAGATTATTGCTTTGTCATTTCCAATTCCAGTTTTGATCACAAATATCACCAATTTTAGTTCCTATTTTTTTTTTTTTTTTTAAATTTTTTTTACAAAATTAGGGATTGTTATCTTCCAATCGCAAAATACCCACTGTTTAGCCCTTGAACGACTATCTATTCAGATAAATTAGATCTGAATAGATAAGTCGCAATTACATGAAACAAATTACAAATGAAAGATGAAAATTATGTGGAGAAGTGAAGTGAAGACAAAGGGAGAGATGACTACAACTCATACAAAGAGATTAATGAATAATAAAACAAGACAAATTAAATCTTCTTCTAAATATTTGTCTAAATTTTTAATTTAATTTAATTTTTTTTAGGAAGGGATTGAAATTTAATTATCTCGGGAAAATGCTAGTGTAGGGAGTCTCTCTCCTCCTAGAGATGGGCGAAGAAAATTTATGGAATAATAGTGAGCAAGTACAGGAACACCATCATTTCTCAATGATATCATGTTTTCTTTCTTTACTCACTCATTCATTCAATTTTATTTTTTTTTTAAATTTTATTTTAACCATTACTTGGTTTTCCCCCCTTTTTATTTTATTTATTTTTAACCATAGTTAATTTTTTCTCCTACACGCTTATCCATACATCTAATCCCTGCACCCTTCTTTTTTTTCCTGTACTACTTACCTACGTATTCATTCTTTTCTTTCTTTATTTATTTTTATTTTTTCGGAATTTAAACTATTTACGATGTACAAAATTAAACAGTTCCAAATTAACTCGGATTTTATTTTTTGTCTTCAGATGTATAGAACGGTAAAGACAACAGATAGAGCAGCTGCTTCTTCAGGTATGAATTTTTGTACATATGTATAATAACGTCATTTAATAAAATGATTAATGAGGTACTTTTATGCTTAATACGAAGTAAGTATGATTAAATTTGGAAATAATTTGATTTGTTGCAGGGCAAGGGGATGCGTACGAAAATGGTTCGTCGGGCGATACATCAGACGACATGTTTGGGAATGTGCAAAGCAGTAGAAGTTCGGAGCGACCGACTCTTCCGCATGGAAGATCGTCGCCAAATATGCACCAAGAAAAGGATTATAATTCTCATGGACTTTGGAGCAATTCTTCAAGGTTATTTGATTTTACTACTCGTATTATTGTAGCTTTATCATCTTTAATCAATTATATGATTCGTTATTCATGCATGTTTAATATACATAAAACTCGCATTAGAAATGGATGGTTTTCTTAATTAAGCCCTTCAAATTTGGAGGTTTAATTAGACTTACCAATTAGGTAAAATTTTAACTATAAAATGATTGTAAAACACAAGACTTAATTAGAAAGCTTTCTATATTATAGCTAGATAGTTGATCAATACTCCGTATTTGTTAGCTGGTGATAAATGCATTTGTAAAGAAGCTTGCATTAAGATATAAATTGTTTTTGACGATGCTATTAAGTGGAGTTCATATAGCTTATCAGTGATGAGGTTTATTCCCGATTAAGTCGGTGTATGGGTGGTTCAGATGTATGCAATCTTTACCTAGAATTTATAAAGGAAAAGCACTTCCTAATGAAAGATGAGTGTATTTTACATAGTTGAAAATTCTTTTAAAAGGTGAAATAAAAAGGTTTTGATTGATTATTTCTTGCATTAATTCATGTATTTTTTAACTTTTCTCCTCTAACCTCTATTTCCCTAGATTACTTAGTGTTCATGCAAATGTGCATGAGGTTAAATTCACATGCAAGAAGAGCTCTAAAAAAGAAGGTAAAAAGGGATTAAAAATTCAATATAAAGTATTTTAATAGCATGATCAAGAATGTACGTTTATACAATGTTCATTAGAACACTTAATTAGACTGTGAATATAGAAGAAAACTAAACTTAGGTATATAATCACTAAGTTTGATTACCATGCATTTGTATTAATAATTAATGAATCCAACATGAAAAATATTCCTCCACCTTCTATACAACAAGAATATTGGAAGATATCTCTTTCTTTGTGATTTTGTGGGCTCTAAAAATAGGGCAATTTTTTTCGTTAATTTTTTTTATTTACTCTACATGGAGCCCGCGTTGCGAAAATAAAATGTCCTAATGTATGTAGGAACAAAAAGAAACTGAAAATATTCCATTTCATGGACCCATTTATATATTTCATTCCGATCATCAATTACTTTGATCATATAATTATGGACTATACCTTGAATAACCAAGTGTTTTGTACCAAAACTAGATTGTGAAAAAAAATTGTGTTTTTTTGGTTTTATTTGATCTCACAAGTTCCACTACTGATGGAATTTATTTCCTTTTTTTCTCTTTCTTGGTTTGGATTTTGGAACTTTTATAGCAGGGAAGCTTGGTTGCATAGCAAACCTAAGGATTCCTCAGGAAACAACATGCAATGTCAATCTTCTCTCGAGGTACATACATACTCACATCACCCGTTTTATAATAATTTCTACATACTCTGTATTCTATTATTTATATTTACTCTCTCCATCTATAAAAATTCTTCATGTTTTAGAACTTTTTTCGTGAAACAATCACCGTTCAAACATATAAGTAAAGAACATGGTGAGACTGATAGGGTAAAAAATATACATCGACTGTGTTTTTTAGATTATTGTTTTGTTTTTAACTTTAAATTAATGTACACAAAACAGTGAGTTTGAAAGTTAGTACGCACTATGAAACATAACATACTATACTAAACATATTATTCCTGTGGGGAATATTGAGGGAATGTGCATGAAAAGAAAAGGAAGTTAACCATAAAAAGAAAGCAAAAGTTAAAGAGAGAAAAAAAAAAAAGGGAGGGTTATACATTTATTTTTTATAATTTCCTCTCTCTATCTTTCTCTACTACGTACAAGTATATCTTCCTTTTTTCTAATTTTTCTCATAAAAGTCGCTGCTACAAAGTTGAAAAAAAAAGAGAGAGAATTTTAGAAAAAGGACAAAAGCCTTTCAAAAGCTGTACAAGTGAGTGTCCTGTGTAAATTGCTCTTCATAGGGGACATTTTTGTCATTTTACTTCCCAAGGAAACATGGCTTCTCGTAACCAAGAAAAAGCTCTGTGCAAAAGCCCAAAATTAAAAGAGCATCAATGATAAAGAAGATGAAAAAAAGGAAATTTGACATACATTTTTTTATTTATTTGGTCAAAGGGGTTTATTATATATAACAAATTTATTAACTTTTCATTAGATATAAATTTTTTTTCGTCTTAAAATTCTTAAATATATAGCCTAATGACAACGAATGAAGGATTGAATATGGGTAGATCACAGGTTCATAAGACATCGAAAAAGAGCCTAATCACATATTCCGTATGAAAGTTAGTACGAGTTTGAACACTTTTTATGTAGATTTATCCATAATATTACGTACCTTGCATCTATATATGTTTAATTTCATAAACCATGATAATTTGGTGATGGTGGGGTGGTGGCAAAACATTAAAGAATAATGTGGGAAAATTGTAAGGCATAATATATAAAGTTGTCTACCTTATAACGAGGATGATTTTGGTAGAAAAATATTAATATTTTTATGAAATTTTTTTACAACTTTGAAGTAAAGCTTTTAAGCTAAGGTGCACATGAGACACTAAAACTGTAACAGGCTTTCTACTTATTTATATTTGTAAAACCATAAACATCCTCTTTTATTTTTGTTTTTATTTTATTTAATTTATAATATTTTCCAACTTTATTCAAAAATTTTATTCTTTTATTCTCTGAGTCCAATGTCCTTGGATTCTCATCCCTAAGCTAAGTCTCAAACCACATTTTATATGGTACTGAACTTGTGAGTGAACTCATCATCATCGACTTCCTAAATCTTCTTTCTGTAAATTCCTTCTTTTTCTTCTTTTTAGGTCAATTTATAACTTTTTCCTTCTATTTTAATATGGTCCAAACATTAATTTAATACACCTTAATCTACTTTCATAATTGTAGAATCATTAGGACAGCTTGTTCAACAAGATATATACATAGAATAGGATCTTGAGTCCAAAGAGCGAAAATAATATAGATTATTGTATTTTGTACATTGAGATTTTTGGTGCAATAATGGTTGTGAAAGCTAGGTTGATACAAATTGTATGCACCATATATTCTATAATACAATGTCATATTAGGGATGAGTGAAAATTTCTTCTTTTGTCTATGGAAAAATTTGTGATAAGTTGATAACGAGACCCCTAAATGCATGTACTTCTGAAGATCTTTTTAAGAGATGTCAATTTTATACATTCTTCGTATTACAATTTGTTGGTTTATAATCTTCCATTTGCGTAAAAAAACACTATCACTTTACGCAAAATTATACTACCACTTCCAGATATAGCTGTCACGTCATTCAACTTGCTCATATAACACTACTCGCATAAAAAAATAAAAAAAATAATAAATAAATAAATAAATAAATAAATAAAACATATATTATTTTTAATTTTTTGCGTGTTTATTACAATTTACTACATGTTTTAGTTTCTTATCCAGAGTTCTTACGCTATATAAATTTTAATCGTGTGCAGAAGGAGCTAGAACCGAAATGTTTAAGCTACGAGAGATTATCAGAAGTAAGCTCATCAAACATAATATCAGGAGATCATCAAACAAGTCCAACAAAGCCAAATCTGGAGTTCACCTTGGGGTAAGGGTGGCAATTCGGGTCAGCAGGTCGGGTTCGGGTCAGATTTTGGGTCGATTTCGGGTTATGCTTAAAAACTATTAAAAATAGTGTAAAACTTAATATTATTACGAAATATGAAATTTGGGTCAAATTAGGTTGTTCGGGTTCGGTTCAGGTCGGGTTCGGGTCTCTCTCAGTAACTTCGGATCGGGTTCGGGTTGAATTTTCGTGTCGGGTCAGGGTTTGCCAGCCCTACCTTGGGGAGGCCACTTTAACTTAAATTAATTTTTTAGGTTTCTTCAAATTTATTTTTTTGGGAGAAGAGAACAAATATAATGATGATAAAATGAGTATGAAGAAATATAATAGGGAATACAAAAACTACTCATTTTGAAATGATTATAGTCTTCTTAACTGAGCTGAGCCAGGTTGATTGAGAATCAGGTACTCTCTGGTTGAAATTTCAGAGCCAGAAAAAGAAAGGTGGAAAAAAGGAGAAAAAAAAAGGAAAAAAGGTGAAAAAAAAAAGGAGGAGACAAAAAAGACAGAAAGCAACAAATTAAAAGGAGAAGAGAATTGGAATTGAAGGGAAAGGGTATAATGGTAATTTTCCCTGTATAATTTGGTAGCTCAAAAGAAAAAAAAAAGTGATGAGATCCAAAATTAATATTATATTGTATTTTCTACGTAAATATGATGATATTCTAATTGATTTTGTATGTTTTTGAAGTGAGATTTAATTAGAAGAGAGAAAGTGAGGTTAATTAGTGTAGTACTTCTACTTAATTATCTTTAAGGTATGAAGTGATCCTTGGTAATTGTAATGGGTCCCTTTTACATTTTGAAGGAGAAAAAAAGATGAAAGAAATATTTATTTTGACAAAGCAAAGTTCTTGATATATTTAATTGTTAATTAATGTTTCTATATAATTTTCTTAGATTTTTATATATTGTGAGGGCTTTATGTTCAATTCATTCCTTAGCTATGTCACATGCTCTACACTTTCCCAACAAAGGGAAAGTATAAAAAGTGAATATGACAAAGGTACTAAACATAATTTTTATTTTAGTACATCTAAAGAAAAAGTTTGGAAATTTTATTCTTCTTTTACTCAAGCAACTTAGTGACGAATACTTTCTATAATGGTTAAAAAAAATTAGACTTTTAATTGTGTGATAATTATCATTAAAGTTGTGGTGATAGAGTTCTACGCTACTATACTATACCCTTGGCCAATTAGAATAAATGATATTATAATTAGGTGATTCAAATTGAAATTTTAAACTAATTTTTCTTGTTCAAAGGATTATCATATTTTTTTTCTAGGGTGAAATGGTGAATCATTTGAATTATGCTTAACTATACTAAACACAATACTGTATTTATAAAGGATTATAATGTACTCGTACTCCGTAACAAGCAAAGTGTTGAAACAAGATTACCATAAGAAGACAGTTTTAAATTTGAAAAAATCAAAATCTAGGAAGTGATTAGTTAATCCATTAATGCAACCACCTTAAATTTCATTTCTCACCTAGTAAAAATTAATATTTATACATAAAAATTTCATCTTTTATTCATCGATATCTTGTTTTCACTTGAAATTATTTGAACTTATTTTAATTTATCCTCTTTAATTTTTTCTAATTTTGTTTTTTTTTTTGAAATTATTATTTTGTCTACACTTATTCTATCCGAACTTACTTAATTCATACGGATTCGAAAGAATTTAATAAGTTAAAATAAAATGAAACAAATAGACCCTAATATGATAAGATAATACAAGGAAAACTAAGTTCATATAGGGTTAATAAAAATTGACTATCCAAATTCAATGTACAACTTAGGTTACAATCAACAAGTTCAACTATAATTAGATCACATAATATTAATTAAGTTTAAGTAAGTAAAATTCAGGTGAATTGAACGTATCGTTAGGTAAAGGCGATATGTGAAGCATTGTGAGGCTATCCAATTAAGGGGACTGCAATGGTTTTGACTTTTTCAAGCGTAATTGGGTTCTGCAGCATTGTCTATAATGTATTGTATGTTTACTAACTTCAAGAACCTCTACTCCTAGAAATTTCATGAGTGTACAAGTTTTGACTTAATTAATTTTTATTTATGATTTCTTACTAGGATAAAAGGTTGTTTTTATCTTCAAATTTTACATCGTATTGGGTATTCTCGATTTATTATTAAATGTGAGAGTACTTACATACAATAACCTCCAAAAAATTAAACCTGTTTTACCAACTCAGTATATAATTTACGGACTATATCAAACTTACAGTAATAAATATATAAGCTGACTTTTCATCAATTCATTGTACTCCATAGTTAAATTGCATTTGTAAACATGTGTATTACACTATTACTCCGTATTATATTTATTAGAACCATTTAAATATACGGAGACACGGAGTAGTGTAAATAAGTTAAGTATTACAGAGTATTTTTATTAAAAAAAAAAAAAAAAAAACAAGTTCATATTACAGTTAAAATAAAATCAGTTGATTAGTTCATATGTTATGGTGAGAGAAAATTAGATAAATAAAACTCAATTGACTTTTAAACAAGGGAGCCTCAGTTAATCTCAGAGATAAACATTCCAATTTATCTCCTCTCAAAACTTTATGCATTGATTTATATGCCATTTTATTATTTTACTTTTGTCATTTAAATAATTAAAAGTAAATAATTATGTTGTGAAAGGAGATATATTCACAGATTTATCTCAGGGAGAAACTTGAATTTACCTCTTTTAGACTCTACAAACTATTATGATGATTAACAAAGTATTTTGTTCTTAGAGCTTATTTCGTTCATTTTATTTATATTTAAATACATATACGAAATACGAGTATCATGAATATATATATGTAAAATTAAAAGGAAAAGTGACAACACATTGATAGTTAAAACCGCATATTTTACTGTAGATAAAGTCCGAAAAAGTAAAATTAATTAGTTAAACGGGACATATAACACGGACTAGAAAGAGCTTCAAGCACAAAATAAAGACATACTTCGTAAGAAGTATTTATTAGACATAGTAAGGTTGTTAAAGCTTAAAGAGACAAAGTAATTACTGATAGTCAATCTGCCAAGAAATTACATAAATTCCTTTCAAAAAGAATAACATAAATAAGGTAAACTTTATCAACGAACTAAAGGTTCTTTTCTGCAAGAACTACAAAGGTAATTAAAGAGTTACACCCCCACTCTCAACTAACATAAGAAAATAAAATAAATATACAAGTAAAAAAACAAAAGAAAAAAAAATTAAAAGTCATAACTTAGGATACTGAATTTGGTCCACAAAGAAGGGTATGTTTTTATTTGTAATTAAAGTTTAAAAAAAGAGTACAAAAGAAAAAAATTGCAGGTGTACAAACATATATGCCTTTGTATAATACTATCTCAAAGTGTCAATTTAGAACGAGACAGAGAGCTACTTCTTTAGTTTGCTTTCCCCAAAATCAGCTCTAACAGACCATTGTTGCACCACATTAAGAAATTATGTTACTGTTTTTTTCATTAATTCACTTCTGATTTTTTGAACCTGTAAAATTAAAAGCCTTGTACCTCATATTTTACATTTATGTTGATGAAAAGAATTTTAAATTTGCATTGGAATTTATGATAAAAACACTCGTCAATTGAAGTTATTAAAGTTATTAAGGTTAAAAGTCCAAAAAAAATTCTGTGTAATCTTCTAATAGGTCAAGGCACAAGGCCTAGGCATAATCTTGCAACTTAGGCACATGGGCGGTTGGTCAAGGCACAAGCCAAAGAACAAGGAATAAAAACATCTTATCTATTAATAACACTTATATGTGGCCATGCATTGAGGATAGCGTATTGGCTCGTCTTAGGGGAGTTTTCAAAGAGGCGAGGCATCAGCACGAGCCAAGGCAAGGCAATACATGATCAAGGCAGATGACTTAAGATGTGATAAGATGTTATCCAAAGGCCGAAATTAGACCAATTTTGCATATTTTGAGACCTGGCGGCAAAATCCCAAGTAAGGGTGGAAATGCATCCAAATGTCATAAAACATTGTTCGAAATCATATACACCCACTAGTTAGTCACACAAAAGCATGATGGGAGGCATACCTATAACCAACTAAGTTGATATACGAGTATATAGTTAAAATGCTAAGTGGATGGTTTCAATCACCTAAGTGGCTTTTTGACTTTTTGAGGTATCATGGAGTTTGTGAGAAGAACTTTGTCCTGGGTTCCAAAAAATAAAAAATTCTCTAAAATTTCCTAGAGTCATAGAAGTCAATTTAAAATCATAATAAACTTATCAATAGGTCTCTAAAGTCACTAGAATGCGTTTGGTTTAACGATAAGACTATTTCAAAAATATATTAAAGTGGTAGTTAAGAGCTGCAATAGTACAAATCATCACATATGCACCCCGGACTCCTATTAAGGTGTCAGGATTTTTTTATTGGGTTATTACAATCTTGTTTATTATTTCTTTTTCAATGAAACTAGGAAATTTTATGCTTGGATTGACTCGTCTTGTTTTTAGGTTTTTTCATCTAGCTGGGGTTTATCGATTAAAAGATCTTTTAAGTTATGGAAAATACTTGATGATATAATTCACACTTATAAGACTTTTGGAAAACATACAATACTTTTATGATATTTTAATTTAAGAGATAGTAGTTTGTATACAATAATCATATATCTTTTTTAGGCTACATACAAAAATTGGCTTAACTCAGTTTTACTTAAAGTATTATATATATGACTTAGAAAAAAACGAAGCGATAAGCTAGTTTCCCTCCGGACTAGGTCTTGATGTTTTGGATAAGACTACCTCATAAGAGAAATATGCAATCAGGAACACTTTATATGTTCTATGATAAAATTATAGCACTTTCAATAGTAAGCTAAAGCCATTCAATTCGCGATTGTAATTTATACCCTAGCTATAGTTTAACCTAAATTAATGGCGAATATTAGAATTTGGAATTATTAGAGGATTGGAAACGAATATTTACCATATTGTGACAAAAGTTAAGTAGCTAAGGTGAGATATATCTGCCCAAAATTCTCTAGTTTTCTGGTCAAACGTAACTTTCTGAAGAGTACAAAAATAGTGTAAATTGTCTTTGGGCCAAAAGGAGATCAATGACAGAAAAATAAATAAAAAGGGTCAAAGGTATGAAATAATATTATGCAGGATTTTCATGTACTGTTCCAAGGTAGCAACTGTATCTGTATATTGTGGTCCGACTTCATTTATTACGAGTACTCTTCTTCCATTTTATTTCTCTGTTTTCAATGTCACTATCTCTCTTCAATCATACATGTTTCAACCACACATTTATATCTTCCACTAATTATTCCTTTTATAAATTACTTTACGGAAATGCTCAATATTAATTACATCTACATGAGAGATTTTATGATATGCTTGTTTATTGATTATATATGGAGTAACCATCTCTCATACATACGACTGTATGAATAACTGTTGAGAAACGATCCCA